GAAAAAGCTTATTGTGCGTTTATTGTGCGTTTATTGTAATTATTCACATTGAACGAGATATCATATGTAAATAATAACATACTCTCACAACGTTAAATATAAAGATGATTTATAATCAAAATTTAAAAATAAAAATGTATGACTAAATAAATATTATTATCTTTTTTCTTTGTGAATAAATAAATAAATTAACAGTAAATTTACTTAATAGAGCTTCAATATTGTGCTATCAAATCATTTGCATGGGCGTAATTGCTTGATAACGTTTATAGAACATTTGTAATGCAATTATAATTTCTCAACTGTTTGCATAATAAATATAAGATTTATGCAGGTCAAAAGACGATCACGCATAACAGGATAAAAATTATATACCCTTATATATAAGATATTAATTTATGGTCATATGTAATTATAGCTTTACTCTTCATCAAAAGCGATCCGATTTCAAAATTATATGTATTAGATATGGGTTCTATCTAGGTTTGTATGTTAAGGACATATATAAAATATGTACGAGGGTGTACATTATGACAGGTGTGTAAATAGGATGCTAACACCTGTTTTACAAATACTACTAAACCAAACAGAACACGATATTATTTACTATTCATAAAAATGTACCATAAATCTGAACCACAACAATAAACTGAATGTATGCCAAATATTTTAGTTCAGAAATATTATTAAAATATGCAAGATATTTTGAAAATCTTTAGGTAAAATATTTCATTAGGTACTTAATATAAATCAGCTTGGTAAGAACCTGTATAATATTATAATATTATTTTCAATTATTGATTACAGTTTGCTTATGAATAAATAAATTAGTAGTATGACGCAAGTAAATTTAAATAATTCTTAACTTCTAATCATAATAATTAAAATCAATATTATTTATTTTATGAAGTTTTGATTTGGTAATAAAAAAAACTGAACAAATTAAACAAAACAAAATTATATCAAAGAATGCTATAAGTTTGATTTATTTGTGGGCAAACACATCTGTAAAGCACTATTGTTTCCAAATCAATTATTATTCCATATTTCAATTATTATATTTAATTTTTATTGGTATTTTGAATATTATATAAATATAAAATTATTATTTATCCACTTCAAAAAGTTTTCGTTTCTATAAAATAAAATGTTTAAATGTTAATAAATTAACTGGTAATAATTTTTTTCTCGAAGAATCCAATGAAGTAAACTAAATTTATTTTAGTATTAAAATGTGTTGCACTTACTTGTTTCTCTTGGGCTTGTTGTATGAATTTCTTTCTCATGCTCCGTTGGCAAAATCGGAATATCGCTACTTTTGTTTTTAAAAATCTCTTCATCGTGACCAGCAATATTATTATTGTTGTTACCATTAATATTTATATCGATTCCTTCTGTGATATCTGAATATTCATCAATAAAATCATCGGAGCTTAACGTGTCTGGAGTTGGAGTCACCTTCGGTTTAAATGTGGTCAGACGTGGCAAAGGAGGAAAATCGCTTTCTTCATTCATTTTTTCTGTCACGTTCATGATTTTCACAATCATATTACCGTAAGTTGTTTCTTCGATTCCTGAACTGCTTGATAATGTTGTTTCCGGGAAATTCAGAAGCGTAGAAGAAGATTTATTTGATGCCGGTACATCCGTTGCTATTTCATTTGTGTCAGTAATAAAGTCTAGAGGTGTTTCTGTAATTGTAGTTTCAGTTTCAGTAACTATTACATCCTGTGTGTTAATGGTGGTAAACGAAGATTCTTCTGTTTCAGTAGTTTGTTCTGGTAACATGGATGTACTGGCTTCTTCTACCGTCGTTGTTTCGTATTTGGGTACTTCTGTTGGTAAGCTAGGAGAATCATTGAACATAATTTCAGACGATGTTGGTGAATTCGATATCATAGTTGTCAGATTTTCTTCAGTTATTTCTGTAGGCACATCTGTAGTTGTTGGAATAATTTCGTTTGTGAAAGCCGACATATCATATTCACTTGCAGTTGACGAATCTACTTCTAGAACAGTTGAAGGACGTTTATCTTCAGCGTTTATTTGATCAGGAGACATAATAACTATGTTTGGTGAGGTACTAGTTTTAGTCATTTCTAAAATATTTGATGTTGTTTGCTGAATGGGCTGAGTTGTATGATTAAGTTGCTCCATCGTCATTTGTACTTTTTGCTCTCCTATTGTCATTTGCTTTTTATGATTCTTAGATACGACTTTTTGATGTCCTATTGTCGTCGTATATACTTGCTGCTTTTCAGTTATAGATGCTTCCGTTACTTCTGATAATTTTGGCGGCATAGTCGTCATGTTAAATGTTATTATAACTGGTGGAAATGTTGCATTCACTATAACAGCATTTTTAAGTGTAATATTTATTTTTTCAATATTAGATGAGGGAGAATTTATTTCAAAATCATCTACTCTATTGAATTGCAAATTATCACCATCGTCTTTAGTATCTTGTTTAGATTTTTTATGATCATCATTTTTCTCTATAAACTCCTCCGGTTTCATTGTGGTTAAATCATTGCTGGGTATGTTGTTTTCTACAACCAGAGCTGATGATTTTGTCGGTGCTGGTACCTGTACAGGTATAAGTTTATTTTCTTCTCCTTGGCTTTCAGTAACTCGACCAATAATATTTTTAATTGTGCTAGAATTTGGCGTATTTTCAGAAGAATTTCGTTCGTTTTTCATTATTTCACTCCAATCAACCAATTCTTTGACATTGATTGGTGTTTCTGTAATAGCCGAAATATTTTGTTTTTGTGTTGGCACATGTTTCATTCCTATCAAGGACCATGCATCTGCATTATCGGGTAAATTCATATTGTACTTTTCCATGTTCTCTTGTGAAAAAGAATTTAATTGTCGAAATGCTTTTGTAGTACCATGCACTGTTTCCTGTGCTTGTTGAATTTCGTTGGATGATTTAGAGTCTTGTACTGAACTTGGAGTGCTGACTAAATATGATTTTTGGCCACGATTTGAAACTTTGCCTAATATGTTTTCATTAGTTTCAGAATCATTTTGTGGATTTGATTTGTTTGCTTTTACTGATATTCTTAATCGTGGATGAGTAGTATTTGATATTGCATCCACGACGGGGATGGTTACAATATTTGCAGGTGTATGCATAATGATTCTCGGCGTAGATGTTGATAAATCGGGAAAAACTTCGCGAACTTTAACATCTAAATTATTTACGAACCCTGAGGCGTGATGGTGTATTACTTTACTGGTTACAGCTGAAGACGCTTCTGTTACAACTTCATGTTTATGATTTTCATTAGAACTCATTTCTGTTGATTCGTCCTGTTTCTCTAATTCTTTTATATTCGTTTCAAAATTTGATGTTTCATATTCAACTTTTGTACCATTAGTGGATATAAATTCTTTGTGCTTATGACCATCATCTCCCACAATGTCTTTGCTATATATTTCTTTAACACTCAATTTGTCAACTCTAGTATTATTATCAGTCTTTGCCTTTTCGGCTAGTGCATCTAAATCTATATTGGCTTCACTATTTTCACCGCCATTTGCAGCTAAATTACTTTTAATGTCATCTTTTAGTGCAGCATGATGCTCATCAAAAATAATAGTTTTTGGAGTAGTTAGTTCATCTTCAAACCTATGTAGATCGACTGGTCGAATTCCTTTAACAGCTTCAACAGGATCATGTACTTGCAAAGACATGAAAGTAGATTCTTCATCTGAAGGTAAGCGGTACTTTTGATTATGGAAATCTTCAGAGATATATTTACTAATATCAAAGCTAGGTATTTCGGTTGAAGTTGGTTCAGCGGATATAGTTGATAATTCAGGTGAGGATGTAGTGGTAAGCTCTTCATTCGCAGGCACTGCTTTAACAGTTTCAGATAGATTTTTTGCTTCTAAATGAACCAATGTTTCTTTTCCCACATAAGTTTCTGTTTGAGATTGTGTATCATCTTTTTCTTGAGGTTCTAAGCTTGCAGAAACGGCAGTTCTAAATCTTAATGTTTTTATCGTAGTAGACTCTGTAACTGTTTCTGTAGAAGCTTCAACATTAGCAGACACATTATTCTTATTCTCAGCCTTTGCTTCTATAGTCGGGGTTGTTTCATCAGACTGCGGCTTCACATCCTTAATAGATTCAGTACTCACATCAGCTATTGTAGTTTCAGAAACATTTCTATACTGCCTTGATTTTATTATTCTATGATGTCGGATTTTTTTATTATCTTCCTCTTTGGCATTTGCTGATATTTCACTAGTTTTTGGCGTAAATTGCGAGGAGTGGTACTTGATTTTGCCACGGTTGCGAGTGATAGGTTTTGAAAGTTTGCTGTCACTGGAACTAGTATCAGTGTTATTGGATTCTTTTGTTGAAAGATCGATTTCTAGAGGTTTCGTTTCTAATGGAGCGGCGGGGTCAGTCTCTCTGCGATGACGCAACACTAATTCAGGATTCGCTCGGAATCCCTCGGTCGGGTGAATGGTTAGAAGTATCGACAGAAATGCGCCTGCCAATATATCTGTAAGAAAAATTATTGAATTAATTAGAATATTGAAATTTTGAACGATTTATCAAAAATAACAGTTTTAAAAGTCTAGATTTTGATATGATAATAGAAATATGTTTAACCATCTTTTAATCAGTTATTGAACTCCAGAAAGTAGAAAAACGATCATTTAACTGGATCAATGTTGGCAATGCGTGTCCACACGCCTAACTGCGATTCAGTCCGCATTTACTGTTACTCAGATATTGCAGCAATCATAATTTTCAATTTACTCGGCACAATTACGCGAATTAGTAACAATATCAGATTCACCTCTGCTTCAAGTCAGTCTGTCACATAACAGTAATGTTCTGTGCAAAACGTGACAAAATCTAGACGACTGAACTAAAAACATCACGAAGCGAACATAATAATAATAATAATAATAATAAAGTCGTTACACTAATTGCTGGAATCAGTACATGACTTATGAGGACGCGTTTGGAAATTGAAAAAAAAAACTAATTGGGATAAAGTGCCACTTCTGCTACAGTTGAAACAAACGAACGGCATGAACTCTACATAATATTATATTCGAAATCTGAAGAATTTTTAGTATATAAAGTGCAATTAATATATACGATATATTATTAATGATATGTAAAAACAAATCCTGACAGGTCATACAATTGTATGTGTATAAATACCTGTAACTTATAATAATAAGAGAGGTTAGCAAATGTAATGAGAGAAGAAGAAATTCACATATCTTATGATGATGGAATATTTATAATTTACAGTCCACTCAATATCAAATTAATCATAGTGATCCTCACCACTGACAAAATTTAGAAAATAAAGATCACTACATTAAAAGTTACTGCAAAGTAAAACTATATAGATCATACGATTTCCATTATTTTGTGTCCAACTGTTATCAAAACCGTGTTAACAACGTCATAAAATTAATGAATAATAAAATTACCACAAGATAAAATAGTGAAACAAACATAAGCTCCATGTTTTCTTTACAGTTTACAATAATAAACTTTCTTCTATTATAATAATAATTAATTATTTAAAAAGCTATTTTATGCTGATAAGACTAATGGCAAACAACAGTATCGGAATAAGGAACAAAAAAATAATTTATGTGCCACTTAAGAAACTCAAAACAGACGACTTATTGTTATTTAACTACTATGATTTATTATTAATATATTTATGATAGTCGACACAAATTACTTGGTCTATTCATAAACATGCTTTCTCTTACTGTAAAGATGCCTGCAATAAAAGATGCGTTTCAGGTACATAAAAGATTGAGACTCATTAAAATTTATTATAATTACTCTCTATAGTCTCTATACGATCTCATCAATTAATTTGTAAGTAAAGTACTACTTATCGTAAAAGTCCCTTTGAGATATTTTACGATATTATACAGCAAATTTTATTTGTGAAGTAAGGTAATTTAATTAGGATTTTTTGGCTTTTAACCAAAAGTATATTATCTTGTTGCTCTGATGGTGGTAAAGGTTTTGTGTAATACATAAACTAGTTAACGAAAAAAATCATATATTACTAAATACACAAACAGAAAATAAAAATACATTTTAATTTATAGAGTAAATTACATCACATCGATTTAATTAAAATTAAAAATTAAAAAAAAAAACGCATTCGAAATGTTATACAAACGACTTTGGCGTAAACGTGGCAAGCAAATTTTGAAATACACATACACATTATAGAAAATCTATCAAAGGGCTCTCTATTTTTTAAATCAAATTAAAATAAAGTTTGAAAAATCAACTTTTTTCGTAGACACACGATCGTTTTCTATTTAGATGTCAAACGATTCAGAATAAATTGATACGCCAAAAAACATGAAACTTGGAAATCGGATTTTCTGGCGAGAACATAAACTTTAGAAGTTTAGTAATAAAGTACACCCAAATCTATAAAATTTGCTTACTATACCGAATGACAATATTATCAGACTAATTCCTTAAGTGTCATCTACCTAAAAAATTAATTGTAGCAACAAATTTTCTGTTATTTAGCACTCCACTTATCACAGCCTCGTTTTTTCATTAGGTAGAAACCCGACCGGAACTTGAAAGCTATTTTGTAGGAAGTAGAACACACCTTGTACTGTCATGGATAGGTATAATATACTTAAATACAATATTGTACACATACACACTATTGGTAAATAGAGACCACAAAAGTGATTATCCACAGCATTTACAGAACCAGATAACCAGAGCGTTTGAAAGAAGCATCTTAAATGGCAGTAAGATAAAACTCTAAAGAATTCATTCTGCAGAATTTAGGATAAAAAATGTGCGTTCCATGTTATGAAAACTAATTTCATAAATTGGTATTCAAAATGACTTAAACAATGTAACAACCACAGGCAAGAAAATTCACGAAATCGTTTTGGAGCAAATAATTGATTTATACATATATAATAGTTATACATATTCATTTGCATTTAATAAAATTTACATTTATACATTTTAAATGCTTTGTTTGAAGTACTTCAAAATTTTCTGTAAAATATTCTTCATAAAATCGATTTAAGCTGCTTTATACAAATTAAGTGCGATTTTATTAAATTTTACCTTTAACAATAAATTTTTTTTTCAAAAATGATGAAAAAGTACTTTGGTGCTTTAGGGACCGTAAGCCTAATTATATTAATTTTTGGTGTTATGGATATTTTATCTGCGTGGTTTTACCTTCACATTAAATAAAGAGCTACATGAGTATCGACAACATATTGAATTATGAAGAATATTTATAATAATACTTTATTTTCTAATATGAATTCTAAATATTAACACCGACAATTAAAATCAGAAAGCATGAAGTCGTATTATCAAACAAAAGTTCACTAGACCATTATTGCTCAGCTTCATACAAAACTGCACTCATTTCATTGCAAATTCATTAAAATAGATATATTTTTTAATAATAAATTTTGGTCAACGTAAGCAAGGATCAAAACGCAGAAATCTAATAAGTAAAGTACCAATTGTAAATAGTACTCAATTATTTCTTGAGATAACAAGGAAACGTTACCATAATAATTATATGTATTTTAAAAGATTTTTTATACCACAGAAATAACAAGAAATACCATACCATATACATTATATTTTAAAAGATTTTTTTTACAATAAAACTGCATTAAAAAAAGAGAAAAGTCTGAGAACTTATTAAAATTTTAATCAATCTAACGTTGAACAAGAAAATTCGACGATATATGTGTACATAAATATGCCGGATGCAGGAAAATAAATCCAAGTTTTGATATCACTTTTATATAATTTTTATGTGCACATATGCCAATTTAGACAACTAGGAAAGAAGCAATAAAACACTTATTTAATTTTATAGATAAGTTATATAGTTCAACAAAGTGTACCTCGATTATATTCTTCCGGATTGTTAGTTGATTTGCGAAGTGCCCGAGCACGCGATACTATCTGGCGCGTGCACTCTATCGTGTCGACAGTTAAAAAAAATTCCTGCTTATTTTAAATAATTAGCATCATCATAGGCAAAGACTAATTTATTAATTAAAATAAATCGAATGTATAAAAATGATTAACGAAAAAGTAATTCCACTAAGAAAAAGTACAAAATCTTTTTGTATTAGAGTAAATTTATTTATATGATAGGGTAGGACGGGGCACAAAGGTCCAATATGACTTTGAGCAACTATACTGTGAAAATGAAACTAATTATATCACTAAAAATAACACATTAAACAAACAACCATATGACTATATTCAGTAGAATTCCCAGCTAATTCATTTCTTCTTTTTATCCCATTGGCGATGTAAAATGAGACACCCAGGAAGCAAACAGATCCAATGTCTTATTTTTAATTTTAAAGGGATTTTATGAAATAATAACTAAATTATTGGACTAATGCAACCTATAAATTTCATATGAGTATTTTTTATATATAACAATGTATATAACTTTGATCAGGTATTTCGCCAGAAATAATCATCGGCTTAGTTGAAAGAATTATTTATTTAGTTTTCTCTTGTAAAATTACTTTTTTTAACTTAATTTATTTTATTATTTATTATTTTTTATTGTTTACACCTTTGCAAGGCTGAAAATACAATTGGCCCATTTTACACAACCCACGAGTGTAAAATGGGCCAGATGTTATATAAAAACTGTTGAATCTAATTTGAAAATAACAATACATTTTATAAAACATTTTAATAACTAAACTAAATTTCAGTAACTAAACAACAGTGCTCACAACCACAAAAAACTAACAACGAAAGAAAATACTTTTGTTATGAATTTTTAAATATTGCCGCTTATTTCTCGATTAGAAGGACTTGTTTTTGAGATATCGGTGATGAACTTTTTTACCCGCGGACATTTAAGCCGCGCTCTACGTGGTGATAATAATAATTTATCTTAAACCGTTTCTTTGCAATCCCTGCTCTAATGTTAATAACACGAAGCTCGTTGTAAAGTGCACCTAAATTCATCATAGCGTAGCCAGTAGTAAACAATATAAATATTGTAAGAGGCAATTAAAGCAGCCCGTTGTTTTTCTAATAATCCAAACGAATCATTTTATTGCAAAAAATTAATTAAAACAAAGTTTGCGAAGCGTGACTGTTGCTGGTAGAAGAGAATCAGATCACTTTGGCACGAACGACTAATAGTTTGTTTAGATTTATCATTAATTCGAATAAGAAACGGTATTGTGATTGAAAATATCATTTTATATAATGTAGTATTCACAGAAAATATACATAATATTTAATTTATGATTACTATTTTTATTCTCAATTATGGGGTATTAGATACAGAACAAAATAAATTGATAAATTAATTGGAAGTTACATGTATAAAAGAGCATATCGATGCTCTGCAACTAAATAGCAATTTTGATCAGAAATATAATTATATTTCTATTATAATTATTATATTTCCTCATGTTATATGATAATTATTACATCGCGCTTTATGGAGTATAAAAAACT